TTTGTAAACATTTTAATTATCATTTATATTTTGATCTCTTTGGGTTTTCTATGTATACAATTGTGTGTGTGTGTGTGTGTGTGTAAAATAATGAAGTTTTATTTCTTCTACTCCAATCTTGCTTATTCCTTATCTTATCCTATTATATTGACTAAAATCTCTAGAATTAAGTTGTTTGAATAGAAGTGGTGATAGAAGGTGTTTTTGTCTTTTTCTCCATTTCAAGGAGAAATTTTTTAATATATGCATAGTGCTTGCTGAAAGGTTTATTAGATCCTATTTAACAGATTAGTCTCTTTCATTCTATTCCTGGATTACTAAATAATTTTTTTTATTTTGTGGACCTTTAGTTTTATCAAATACTTGATTTTGGATCTAATGATATGATTATATAATTTTCTTTTTGTACTCTGTTATTTTGGTGAATTATATTTATTCATTTTTTTGTTTCTGGAATAAATTCAATTTGGCCAATGTTTATGGTTTTTTTTAAATAATTGACTGACTTTATAATGTCTTCAAATCCATGTTAATCAGTGAGACTACCATGCAATTTCTTTTATTGTTTTGTTGCCAAAGTTATACTTGACTAAAAAAGTCTTGCGTTTTATATTTTAAACCTCTGACATATATAAAGATTTCCTACAATTCAATTTGTAAACCTAGAGGCTTGAACAGGTGCTACACATAAGATCTTTCAATAACTATAACCATAAGATAATCTAGTTAACCTCATTAGTTATTGGGGAATAAAGTTAAAATTATAATGAGATACCCACTACATGCCACCAAAATGGCTAAAATGAAAAGGACATAAGATACTAAGTGTTAGCATAGATGTGGAGCAACTAGAACTCTCACACTACTGTGGAGTATATTTGTACAACCAATTTCCAGAATTGGTGGTATCTACTAAAGCCAAACATATTCATACTTCATGACTGAACAATTCTATTCCAAGATACAGTTCCCCCCAAAATGCTTACATTCCTTATTTACCAAAAGACATGTACAAAAATATTCATAATAGCTTTATTCATAAAAGACAAAAATTAGAAACATCCCAAGGCCTATGAATACTCAATAGATAAATAAGTTGTGGCATATTCATACAATGAAATACAATGCAGCCATGAAAATTGTGCTCTACTGCTACGTGCAACAACATGAGTCAATCTCACAAACCATGTTGAATGAACAAAAGCAGAAATGAAAGAAATAATGCTGTATAAGTTTGTTTATATGTAATTCAAAAAAATCATAATTATGGTTCCGTGGGGGTAGGTAAAAGTAGTATATGGAAATGGACTTGAGTTGTTCTAGCAACTTCCTTATGTTTTATTTCTTGATCAAGATAGGTTCACTTTGTAATAATTCATCAAGCTGAGTCTTTATGAACTCTTTACTTTTTTATATATAAAATAATTTATTTTTAAAAATCAATAGACGTCCATAAAAATCCAGATTTTATTGAAGATTTAGAATATTTTTCAGTCCTGGGCCTCAATGCATATTAAATAAATCAACTGGACCTAAGTAGTTGTTTCCTTCGGATGGGGCACATATTGTAAAGTTTATCCACCTCCACCACTCTTTTGTTAACTGAGTATAGACCTTAGCTAAATGTTTGTTGCCTTTCTTCATCGCATTCCTGAAATTGTTTTTCTTATACTTGATCCACTCAGTCATTAATGTCACCTGACTGGAACCTGAATGTGTATGAGTTTTTCTCTGGAGTCTAAAATATTGGAAGAACGATTAGACTTAAACAAAAAGAGGTTCACCTCTTTTATTGAGACCTGAAGAAAAGAAGGAAGGATGGCTATGAATGCAGATAAGTTTAGAGGTGGCAAGCAGTAAGTTAATGAAATTTCCACATGGGCCTCAGTTTTATCTTGGAAGTCAGAGCAACATAACCTTTTTGGAGGTCTATGGGACACTGGATGGGAGGCCTGAAGAGTTTGTTGAACGTATGCTATGGGAATGGAAGAGACAGACGACAGGACACACGTAACGATTTCTGGGCAAAACAGGGAGCCCATTTGAAGTTAAACAAGACCGAAGGTTTTTAAGGGCATGATTCAAAGTATTTGTTTCTCTCTCTCCAGCACCACTCAGTGCCTGTAAGAAATGGGGAAAAGGCCTTGTTGAAAGGCTCTCGGCCTGCAGATTTTCAGGGCAGATGTGAGGAAAAGACAAGGTGACAGGAAATTTAAAGTTAGGATGAAAAGAATTTAAAGTTATGAGTCAACAGGACATATTTTTATATGTACTTATATATATAATACTCTATTATTGGTGGAAATTTAACATGCATACAGCAGAAATGTCAATGTTGAGAAAACTCAACATCAAAAGGTTACAAAGACTGGAGTTAAATATCTTTGCAGTTTTCCTTAGATTTAACAATATGGAAAGATCAGAGAGGCAGAAGTATCTCTTTCAGTATGATCTCCTGGGACAGTTCATCTTTGGAAACTACAGAGCTTGATATTAATTGCCATATTGGGAGAACTGTGTACCTGGGACTTTTTGGATTCATGTCCTCTGTCCTCTCCCAATCCCTCCTGATTTGCTGATCTTCAGGGATCTCCAATCTCAGATAACAGCCCCTACATCCAATACATGGGCCTTAGGCACTGGTTTGTCATTTTGAGGTAATAATGGCTTGAATCCTATGGCTTAAATATCCTTTTCTTATTAAAATGTGATTATCGGTATGAAAAAATATGGACAATTTCCTCTCTTTTAATTTATTTACTTCTATTTATGCCTTGATTTTATATCTACACCATATCTATGATTCTTAACTTTTAATGGTAAATTGAGATTCTGGTTAAAAGTGATGTTCATCTGGATCATGGGAGACAATATAGTTCCTGTGATGTTGAATCTTGCATCATTGTGAAATACGATTCTTCTGCAAGACTAATGGGAACACATTCTTATAATAAGGAGCAGATTCATGGCCATTAATTAGTCTCTCATCAAATTTCCTTTGAAGTATTGTGTGTGTATGTATGTATGTGTGTGTGTGTGTGTGTGTGTGTGTCTGTGTGTGAAAAACATAGGAGAAAGTCTCATTTGATTGAGATGGGTAAGGTGGCAATGAGTGGACCGTATCAAAGAGATTAGAACAAGAGTGACATGTGTCTGGCTTCTTTTTTCTTTGATGGAGGAAAAATGAGTACTTTTTAGTGTAGCTAAATGGATGGGAATGTGGGTGTGTATTTGTGTTTGTGTGCATGGATATGTGTGTGCATGACTGTAAGTGCATTTATTAGAAATATATATTTAGTATATATTATATGAAATATGTATATAAATTTATACATATAGTTTATGTATTTACATATATATGTATACACACACACACACACACACACATACACACATATATATACAAAAAAACTAGTTTTGCTCCTTGGGGGTTTCATGTTCTCTTTTTACTTTTGTGCCCCCCTGTCCCTGTTTTGAGGGATCACTGGTGACTCAATGCTATTATTGGGGGTCCAGATCCCTCACCTGACCCTTTTCTTGCCTTCACTTCATTTCCACTAAGTTCTGCTAAGTATCATTTTTACATGATAAAATTAATATAAGGTACTAATCATTGAGAATTACTTAATATATTTTACTTTCATGATTAATTTTTACAAGTAATAAAACAATTTCAAGGATATGCGATTATTACTAGGGAAGAATTTTAAGACCTGTGTGATTTTTGCTGATGCCATGTAGAAAGTGCCTGTTTGTCCTAGATATGAGGTACAGTTATGATCTTTGTGCCTGCGCTTTGTATCAGTGAATATATTTTAAACCTCTGCCTTGATAACTGCTTGGACTTTTCAAAAGCCCATTGAACATCTTGGTTTTTCAGTCTTCTAGAAGGTAAGAATTTGATGTGGGTTTGATGTACATCGAGGCAGCTTCTTTTATCCCACTAATGACACTGGCTTGCCCTGATGCCCACTCCCTGCATTCATATTCAACAGCTTCTGCATGCAGCATCCAAGACCAGAAAGCCGACTCCCTTTCCCAAAGCACTCGCTAACGAGGGGAAGGAGGGCTGCTCTGAATGCACTACGTACATGTACATCATCAATAAACTGGTGGACTGAATGAGCTAACTAATCCCTGAAGAAAATATATTTTTGAAATAATATGCCCACATGATGGAACATTTAGATATAAATGTTATTATTATTTCAGTAGCCAAATGTTTACCATTTTATAGGAAAAACAACCTCTGTAATCTCCAGAAGCTGGCTGTCATTCGTATATGGAATATCCTTTTTAAAAAGTGCCCAACTCAAAATTTACAGTTGAAGAATGGAAGTGTTATTTACATATATTATTTGCATATATTAAACATCTATATTACTGAGTTTTTTTCCCTTGAATTTGAATGATTTGTCATAAGGTATAAATTAATTGAATATATATATTTTTTGACATTCTCTTTCTTTCTCCCTTCTTTATTTCTTTTCTGTGATAAATTTTACCTCAGTTTCTAACAGTTATCTCTCACGAAAACACTGCTTCCACAATAGCTTTCATGCGCCTCTCTGTAGAGTGTCTTTGCATTAATGTCATCTGCTGTGGCTTCTGAAAGACACTGTTCCAAAATGTATTCCATGGGTCACTGTAATTTCTCTCAGATTCAGTGTTTCAGTAATAAACCTTTATTTATTAAAGGTTGACGTTGCGACCAGTGGCCAACACATTATCCTCCCTGAATTCTTGTAATGTTTTCCTCCTTTTCTGAACAGAGTAATGGGTATGACCAATAGCAGTGTCAACGGAGACTTCATCCTGGCAGGCTTCTCTGACCAGCCCTGGCTGGAAAAGATACTCTTCCTGGTTGTTTTGATATCTTATCTCCTTACTCTTGTGGGAAATACAATAATTATTCTCATCTCCTCAGTAGACCCTAAACTCAAAACACCCATGTACTTCTTTCTTACTCACCTATCCCTAGTTGATATCTGTTTTACCACCAGTATTGTCCCCCAGCTGCTGTGGAACCTAAAAGGACCAGCCAAGACCATCACATCCCTGGGTTGTGCCATCCAGCTCTATGTGTCCCTGGCACTGGGCTCCACTGAGTGTGTCCTCCTGGCAGTAATGGCTTTTGATCGCTATGCTGCAGTTTGCAAACCTCTCCACTACACAGCTGTGATGAACCGAAGGCTCTGCCAGGCTCTGACAGGGGTTGCGTGGCTGAGTGGAGCAGGAAACACTCTCATCCAGGGCACTGTCACCCTCCGCCTGCCTCGCTGTGGACACCGGTGGCTCCATCATTTCTTCTGTGAGGTACCCTCCATGATTAAACTTGCATGTGTGGACATCAGGGCCAACGAGGTCCAGCTCTTCATTGCTTCATTGGTCTTGCTCCTGTTGCCCTTAGCACTGATACTGCTGTCTTATGGATATATAGCCAAGGCAGTTCTGAGGATCAAATCATCCCAGGCCTGGGGCAAAGCCATGGGGACATGTGGATCCCACCTGATGGTAGTGTCCCTTTTCTATGGGACCATCACAGCTGTCTACATCCAGCCTAACAGTTCCTATGCCCATACTCATGGGAAATTCATCTCCCTCTTCTATACAGTTGTGACCCCGACTCTGAATCCCCTCATCTACACACTGAGGAATAAAGATGTGAAAGGAGCACTAGGGAGACTATTTTGCAGAGACCCAGGCACATGAAAAATAAAGCACAATATAAAGTGGTCAATTTTTTGTGACAAAAGAACCCTAAAGATCAGTTTGTATAATCTTTCACTTAAGAACCTTACCAGCCTATAAGGAACAGATGTAATCTTCACAGTCTGCATTATTGTATCTCACTTGGCCTCAAAACTATCTATCTTCTCCAGTCTCTTTCCGGGCTTCTTTTGAGCCCTATGTAAGACAGTATTTCCCCACACTCTTTAAATGTCTATTATTCATACAATTTCTGTTTCACCCTCCCTTCCTCCCTATGTTTTTCTTTGTTCTTCCTTCCTTTCTTCCTTTTTTCCTTCCCTTCCTTTCTTTTCCACCTTTTATTTCTTCCTTTCTTCTCATCTGTATGATGTGCTCGAGAACCATTTTCCCTGATGCTCCTATGTTATATCCCTTTCCATCAATATTCTAACAATTCCCCAAAACAGCTATCTCTAAAATACTTTTCCCATTTATCACAATGAAAAGCTTTCATTTGCCATAACATGGAGAATAGTGGAGAAATTAGACTAGAAAATTTGGATATTAACTCCACAACTTCCCTTTTGAGCTTGTGTAAGTTGGACTTTCTATTATTCAAATTTACTTATGAATAATAAAATGAACAAGGGTTACTATTATGTTGATTAAAATATTAAAAATGTAATATAAGTAAGGTACCTGGTGATAAATAATCAATAAAAATCAATTAACATCTTTTTAATCTTTTATTCCTCTGGTCATAGCATTCTCCATATTTTCATCTAATCTTTGCTTATTTCTTTCAATTGTTTTCAATAAAATTTCTTACCTAGTCTATAATTATTTATCCACTTGTGTTTATATCTGAATGTGAAAACAATTACCTGAAAATATAATAAAAACAAGTCAATCCTTATTTTGTCTTTATAACACGGAAAAAACATATGATTTATTTTCTCTATTCAATTACAGAAAGTGTGGTACACTTGTTTTTAATGGTGATAGCAGAGTTGAGGGTATCATTTCCAAAAGGATAGATACTGCATTGTGGTAGTAAAGAACAATATTCAAACTTGGAATCTATATCCTGTCCCCACAATTTATTCACCAGCTGTGTAACTCTAGGTAAATTATTTAACATCTCTAAGCCATTTCTAAAATGAAGAAGACCTCAAAAATTTGCTCTATTTTAGTAGATAATTCGAAGGCATATAGTAATGGCTTGGTAAAGGTCAGTTATCATTAATAAATTCTGTTGATGTTCTTAGTAATCACAATGTCAGATCGAGTAGACTTGATGGTAAATATGCATATGTTTTCCAGGCGTAAATTGTGTGGGTGGTCACTAGTCACTATTAATATTCTACTAAGTTCACTTGCAATAATTAAGAGGGTTCTGCTCTTGGCATGTAACCAAATATGTTTGTTAGTAGTTTTATGTAAACATGCACTTTTTCATAAACAAGTCAATAGTAATTAGTTTGCTATGATGTAATAATTTTTGAGTCAACTGTGATCTAATGATTGTGACTCAATCATATTTGGTTCTTTCTTTGATTTCTGTTTTCTCATTTCCACAGTATGGGGGAAAATGTATTCCTTGCTTAACGGACAACTCAAATTCTAAATGAAGACATCCTTATCCAAACATTATGCAGCACACCTCATGTTTAGTCCTCCAGTTTACCTCCCGACCTTCAAGCTGAGTCACCTACTATAGCAATAGCAAATGAGGCTATGGTTGGCAAAGTTCTCCTGAAAGCTGTGCTAGCATGATCCATTACTCACCTGCATTTTTGCATTTTTGCATTTTTCTTATATTTAGTTTTTATAACCACAAGTCAACTCTTTGTAGCTATTATCCTCGGAGTTATCATTTTTCACTTTACAACATATTTGCTTAATTTCTCACATTAAAACTCAATCAATAATAAGTTTATATAAAATAAATGAACCTGTGATCTCTTCCCTTTAAGAAGTGTCCTTTAGATAAAAACATGCACAAAGAACTGACAGGTCAAGTAACAGAACAACATATCAACAATCTATTCATTATTCATTCAATCAATCAGTAAAAGATTATGTACCACAGTATGTTTATGCTAACACTGTCCATAAATAATACATAATATACCTATAAAAGGTATTTCGTGATTTATGAAACAATTAAAAAGCAATTTAAAGTCATACTAGATGCAAAATAAAACAAGAAGGCAAGTACATTGAATGTCTATATGGTTGAGAAATTCATAGTAAAGAATGGATCCATAAACGACTACTGAGTATTATTGTGAAAGAGGAGATAAAACTATAAACATATGTGGAGTAAACAAAATTACATTCCAGGTGAGAATGTCTTGAATACACTAAGGATCAGAAGGCATCATCTCTGAAGGATGGAAATCAGGTCACTGGCTTCCAACGGTACACACCAGGAATAAAAATAATATTTACATTTTTATGACTACAACTGCATAAGTCTTTATTGACTAAAAAGTTAAGTTGCATTTTTTCAAACTTAGCACATATTTTTCTATTGTTTCATCTTCATAATCAGCAATCTAAATAGTGTAAAAACAATAAAGAGCTTTGGTTAAGCATCGTAAATTTAACAGAAGTATTTATTCCTATTTCTTTACAAAAACCATAAAAAATACACTAAATAAAAAGTGCTATAAATCTATGAGGACAAGTAGAACTAGAAAGGAGTGGAAAGCAGAGAAGAGATCAATAAGCTATCGTAAGATGAAAAATAGAAGTAAGATAGTAAATGACTTACAGAAAAAAGGATGAAACCTAACTTTTAGAGAATGGGGTGGAGTGTAGGTGGTAGTAGCCAGTAATAATAAAGAAAATTTATACTGCAGAACCTTGTAATAGCAATGGAGGCTTAGGAAAGGTGAGCAAGGTGTCTCTTAGAAGGAAGTTGTAGAGTCAAGCTAAAATCTGCCTAAAAGATGGGTATCCCCCAACCAGATGAGTGCCCCTCTGATATCAAAGCAGAAAAAGGAAGTAGTCACCCTTAGAGGTGAAATCAGAGAGCCTCTAGACTCTCTCAGATTTTACTGTAGTGCCACACCCAAAGCAAGGAATTCTGTTAGATGCAGCATACGGCATCCTTCCCTAAGAAGTTTCCCCATTCTGCTCCCGAAACATTGGCAGCCAGCATTATATCTCTCTAGGTTGGAAAATATACAGTCCAGAAGACCTGTATTAAAAAACCAAAGGTGTACTAATGTTTGTGTTATGCCAATGACATGGCTTGGTCATCCTCTCATGACACCTCATTCAATAAGCTTTGCCCAAGATACAACGTTTCCTGTCAGTTTTCTAGTGAACATATCCCTTCACTTTCGAGTAAAGGCTCTAACCCACAAAATCCAGTATAAGCAGACAAGAAAAGGAGAAGAAAAGATTTATGCAAGAAGCAGAATAAAAGAACAGCAAAAATCTCTATAATTAGTATACTTAGGGAAGGTTCATAAAACAAAAAGAATTGCTTACAAGTGGAATAATGAGGGAAAAAATGGAGATTTCAGTAATAAAAAATTAGAATGAAACTGAGGGGTTAATTTGACCAGGTCTGCCTGCCTTGCTTGCCTTTTATTTTTGTTTTCCTTATTCCCTGGAAGCTGAACATTAATAACCTTCATTGGCTACTTCATAGATAACATTCATAAGTCACCATGGTAATGATTTTTTTCAGTTGTTTTTCAGGAACTTCGGCCAGCTCCTGTCCAGTTCAAACCAGTTGAGAACATTGACCTTTCAATGGGTCCTGTACAGGTGGCCTTTTGACATCAGAGGGCCAAAAAACTCCACCTTCAGATCATGCTAATACCACCATTTTGACATCAGAGGGCCAAAAAACTCCACCCTCAGATCATGCTAATACCACCATTTTGACATCAGAGGGCCAACAAACTCCACCCTCAGATCATGCTAATACCACCATTTTGACATCAGAGGGCCAACAAACTCCACCCTCAGATCATGCTAATACCACCATTTTCTGTATGAAATGCCATGAACCCCAACTACTGTAAGCTAAAATAAAACCCTAACACCCACCCCCTGCCAACTTCATGGACCCCCTCTCAGCCAAAAGTACTCAATAAACATCTTAAAACTGAATTTCCCCACCATGAAGGTAAGGCAGGTCAGACCCGCTTCATCACACCCCTCTCTTTTGTAGTTTAGACACAACTGACCAGTACTAATGTCAAAACAGAGATCCTAAGATGGACAAAACAGACTCTTTGTGACAACAAGATGGTAAACTACTAACAGGACCTAAGGGCATGCGAGGCAAAGGTTAAATCACATCTGCAGCCCATCGATTTGCTTAACAGACCACTTGAGTTGGTATATTGTGGCTTGTCTCCAATTAACAGATTTCCTTATCTTAACTGAAAACATTTCAGGCTTTTAGACAAAGTTTTATTTCTTTAAGCGTTTACAAATCAAAGAATCGCTGAACCCACCAATAACCTGTAAGTCCCCCCACCTCCCACTCCCACTTGTAGATGTCCTGTCTCCCTAAAATGTACAAAACCAGACTGCAACCTGACCACCTTGGAACCACTCAAGGCTCATTTGTTATGGTTCCACTGGCCAACGGTCACTCATGTCCAACTCAGAATAAATCTCTTTAAATTATTTTACAGAGTTTGGGATTTCTTTTTGTTAACAGTTGGAATTCTAAGTAGCTTCAGGCACCGTTGAAACTCCAACCCCTGCAGTACTGCCAACTTCTCCATTTGAGCAGCAGATTAGAAATAAGCAGCCGTAGGCAGGCAGGTTGGCGGGTGGTGGGGCCTGCGTGCCAGGCTGCAGGAGCCCTGCAGCAGGTGAAGAGCATTGAGGTGCCCAGCAGCATGAACAGAAGCACACTGAGGTCTCCAGAGCCCCTGTGGCCACCACCTTGGCCTTGGTGCCCGCAGAGCTCAGTGCTCCACGAGCAGCCCCCTGGCAGCTGTGAGGCAGCTGTGACAGAAGCAGAGGCCAAAGCACTCATCGCC